GTGACGTTTGAAAAAAAGTTACAACCTTCTAGCAAGCACCTTTAAAAAATAAGAAAGAATACGGGCCAAGTAAAATACGTCTAGGGCTTAACCTGGCCAAAATTATTATTGATTGCCATTCTCCAGCCATCTTTGACGCTAATTTTTTTCGATTTATGGTACTTTTTATATTTAATGGTTTTTATCAGTCTGTTATACTAAAATTTATATATTTGAAAAAAAAATCACATTTTTTATCAGAGTAAGCTACAAAGATACCAGCAATCGTTTGATCCCTATATACCCAAACAAAAAAAAATATTATCTTTGGGTAAAAGTACTCAAAACACCCTCAAGTGAAAGAAAACAGAACAAATTACTTCCAAAGCTCCAGATATTATTATTTGATCGCGATCAATATAGTGTTTTTAGAGCTGTTTCTTCGGTCTCTATATAAACATCCCTTCACCTTAACCTTTCTTTCGCCTGGCTTAATTCGAAAAACGGCCGTCCTAAAAATATATTTTTTTAGATTGCCGATTGAGATATTCGCCAGACAATATTTTCTTAATGCCGGTTAAAGGCTTGGGCCCAAAGATCTATTGAAAAACATCAAATGTGTTTTATTTGGGCTTCTTATAAGATTAGATAAATATCTTAAATTTTAGTTTGTATTAAAGAATTTTTTTGCGGTAAAAGTAAACCAAAAACAATATAAGACAGTGCTTTAATACCGTGCTGGCAACTGTTACTTTTGGGTCGGCATTTACATGTGTGGAAGTAAATCGCATAGGGATCTTATTAAGTCGGAGTGAGAGAAATGCGACCGACCGACGCGACGCGCGACGGTGTGCTGTTGCGGCGTTGCCGATACGCCTTTCCCTATCAAGTAAAATAACATCACGATCGCAAATCGCTTATTTTTAAAAGCCTATTTTTTCAAGAGATAGCTAGATAAAATTATTAGACATGTTTCTGAGCATCTGAAATAGAATTATTAGGATATCGTTAGGGAGTTATATGTATAAATAAGTGTTATTTCATTGTAATTAAATACTGAATGCCTATTTTACATTATGTCACATATAAAAGCGAACTGCACGGTTCAAAGCAGACTTTTCACTCTCTGTACTTTGTCGAGAACGTTTGTAACAATAAAATCGTTTTTTAAAAACAACTCTGTTAATTCAGACCTAAGGTTGTTTTTTCCATTTAAAAATTGTAAACAATCCATCCATTTACTTTTAGAGCATAGCAATTTTCAGCAATCGTGTAATTTTTTTATTGATAAAGATTTTCACATATTGTCTACAAAGAAAATACAGCAGAAATATTAACAAAGTTCTTGAAAAAACTACAATCTATTATTTCTAATAGATTTCGAGATATCGATTTTTGAATTCAGAGTTCTAATAGCGCGACCACTATCGAACACCCACTCAATTCCACGTATTTTTACCAAAAATGGAAGTGTTTCTAGCTTGCACTTAAAAAAATTCAAGCTATAGGGAAAATTACAACAACTCGTTAATAAAGAAACAAATTAAGTATCACGAGACGTAATTAAATCGTGAAGCTGAACGCATGACGTACACCTTTCCCTAGAACTTTAAGTACTGACAGAGGTATTGATTGGGTCGACCGGTCAACTGCGACAAATCTGCTATGTGCACAGTTTCTCGGTTTATTTCATACGTTTGGCAACGTCTTTACTGTCCTCTCTTTGTTCAGTACATTATAAACGCCATTGTACTCTTCTTACATACGGAAATCTCGACCCAAGACTAACCTTTGCCAGCCCTTAGTATAAGTATACAAGGCATCACAGCATTGTGTCCTTTGTATCACTGACAGAGATTGCGTATCTCATTGAGTCTCAGTGTACAGGGTGGTCGAATTTGGTCTGTTTTAACAGAGAAACCCTATTTCCTGACTAGATAGAGCAAATCCAACGTAGATATCATGGGCTTGATTTCTGAGACATATTTAATGACATAAACTGCTTGTCGATATTTTCACTGCCAACGGAGATAGGGGTCTTTTTGAATTTTCGACCAATCTGAAAATAGCCCATAACTTTTTTTATTTTACAGGATTAATTATTTTTATCACAATTTTATATTGCATGTTATTATTCATCTGCATAATTAAAGACTTTTCAAAAGACAAATTAACAATCTATATTAGTATTACCAATCAAAATGCCAGCTTTACAACTGAACTATTCAACTGAGAATTAACAGAAAATTGGTTGGAACAAGATGCCCCATATCTTGGCCTGCTAGGTCCTGTTATTTAACTCCATTGGACTTTTTCATGGCAAAATTAGAGGACATTATTCTAAAGGGAAGAACCATTAACGGGAGAAGAATTGCAAAAAGCCACTTTTAGTTTTATTACAACTGTTCAACTAATAAATAGCTGTAACTCTGGGAGCAAAAGATGTTTACTGTGTACTCAGCAGGGAGGTGCTCAGTTTGAACATGTTTGCCAAAACCATATTCGTTACTCGTAAAATACGTTTTTTAGTTTTGTTCTTTCTTTATTGTATCGATTTTAATTGAAATTAGTAATACTAATATAGATTGTTAATTTACCTAATAAAAATTATCCATTTGCCTCAAAATGATCGAAAATTCAAAAAGACCCCGTATCTCAGATGACAGTGAAAATATCGACCATAAAACCATTACCATTAAACATGTTTTAGAAATCGATCCATGACATTTTTGTCGGTTTTGCTCTATCTAGTCAGAATATATCTTTTGTCATATTTTTCTTGTAGAGACTTGTTATTTGAATGACGCCACCCGGTATAATATAGAAAATAGTTTATACATGTCAAACAATTTTCTATATTATACTTTATGTAGTATGTTGTTTCCATGTATCCTATTCAAAATAAAAACACTAAATCACCACAATACACCAAAACAGTTTTACTTTTACACTGGACGCGCGTTTCGCTAACCATGTTAGCATCATCAGCAGATTATTATAAACTAAAGTACAATTTACAAGTTGAGCCTTCATATACTCGCCCAGTGGGCACCGAGTGGGCGTGGCAAAATCTAGCCAACTGAGTCAGAGCCCACTGAGCGTAACAGTTAGATTTCCGCCACTAGAGTAGTAGGAACAAAAAACTTGAAGGAATTGGACCGTTGTCTCTGTTCATACTATCTTTACATTTATTAATTCTGATGCTTTCATATGCATTTAATTGCCTGTATTTTGAGACTTGTTTAATTAATTTTAAATTATTAAGATCTATACAATATTCTTTATCAACAATATGTTCGGCAACACAAGATTTATCAGGTCTACCGTATCTTATCTGAGCTAAATGTTCTTTATATCTAGTTATTATTGATCTTCTAGTTTGCCCAACATATATATATGCCCAACATACAATATTAACTAGATTTAAAGAACATTTAGCTCAGATAACATATGGTAGACCGGATAAATCTTGTGTTGCCGAACATATTGTTGATAAAGAACATTGTATAGATCTTAATAATTTAAAATTAATTAAACAAGTCTCAATTTACAGGCAATTAGATGCATATGAAAGCATCAGAATTAATAAATGTAAAGATAGTATGAACAGAGACAACGGTCCAATTCCTTCAAGTTCTTTGTTCCTACTACTCTAGTGGCGGAAATCTAACTGTTACGCTCAGTGGGCTCTGACTCGGTTGGCTAGATTTTGCCACGTCCACTTGGTGCCCACTGGGCGAGTATATAAACGCTCAACTTGTAGATTGGACTTTAGATTATAATCATCTGCTGATGATGCTAACATGGTTAGCGAAACGCGCGTCCAGTGTAAAAGTAAAAGTGTTTGGTTTGGTTTGGTTTGATAATAACCACAATACATAATAACCACAATACACCAAATTGTGGTGATTTAGTGTTTGTATTTTGCTGTGTAACACCAAAGGTTCCAACCCTCAACTGTAATGTATCCTATTGTTATTTTGAAAACAAAAATAACTTCATGCTGATTCTTATCGTAAATTCAGTGACACGCATACTGTCAATTTTTTATCGCCTTCATAAAACTCTTACATACATGCACAATGTCTTTTTCATCCTTCAAAATTTCCGGCTTTAGAAATTTTCTTTTTACGGTAATTTGTCTCTGTTGGCTGAGTAGCTTAGTGGACTTATTTAGAATTCCATCGCCGTATTACGAACAGTTTAAAAAAAATAGCTTTTTTAGGGTTCAGAACGTGGTTACCTTAAGAAAAAGTCTTGACAAATATGCACATAGCAAAAAAATGTTATTAGTCCCTTACTTTTAGTCAGTTAATAAATGGGTAAGGATTTTGCTTATGCAAATCTCAATGAATTATATTTTATAAAAATATACAGGGTGAGTCTTAAATAATTAGCAAATATTTTAAGGGCTGGTAGATCTTGATACTAGAAACATATTTTCTCTTTACCGTTTTTCAAATAAGTCCAAAATAACAGAGTTATTTAAAAACAAAAGCCGAAGCAATAAGACTCTAAGTCTCGGTGTCAACATTTAATATGACAAAATAAATTGTTACACATGTTTCGCTCATACGAGCATCATCAGACAAATTTACATCTTACATATTAAAACAACACTCCAGAGTGTTGTTGATCATTCAATTCAATAATCGTCATGATGATGATCATTGATGATGACCTTACATTGGGTTAATAGATTGTTAATAAGGTTCCTGTTAATTCTTAAACTCTTGGATACCATTAGTCTATGTTAAAATTAATTTTCTAATGAAAAATTTATCTAGCTGCTATAAATTTATTGAATTATTAGTAATTATCTTTTAAAAAGATATTATATTTACTTAAAAAACACATCAGAGATGCAGGGTATAAATACCCAGCGATCATTATTGAATAAAGCAGTTGGCTATTCTGATTTTGCTCATTTAATTGGCAATATATTTAAGAGAAATTATTTAAGAAATTTAATAAAAAATATATTTAAGAAAGAATTTATTATTACTATTACCAATTTTCAGACTACACAATGACCCCGATCGTCTGGTACAAGTGGAAATATCTGCCAAATGGACCAGCGATTTACCATGGATCAGCTTCGATCTCGACTTACCCGCTAAAATGCTCGCCAGATCCATATCCAGAGAACCATGGTCCAGAGAAAAGTTCGAAATAATGAAAGAGTAAGTTTAGTTTACAGATATAGATGCATCCAATGTCAGTTTATGAACATTAACAATCTGTTTGCGAATTGTTTATGCCAAACGGGTTTCCGAATGTTATGTTTATACTGACGTTTAAATTGTTCGTTTGTTGCCTATTATGTTTAGCGAAAGGAAGAGATCGTGTTTCAATATATCATTGTCAATAATATGGATAATAAGGAGACTAACGATATAATGTTCTGACTTAACATATACAAGACAAATGTAAACAAACCGTTTGTTTAGTTGCAGTTTGATCTGAACACAAGCTTATTTTTTCAAGATTTGACATCGTTAACGGCTTCATCGACAAAGTACTCACAAAACAAACAAAAGCACAAAAAAAATATACAAACAACAAAAAATACACAATACAATTCAAAAACAAATTTAAGTCATTAAAATTACAAAAAGAACATACATGGACAATTGCAGAACAGTAAGCAGTCAATAGATATAATTTTAAGAGTTATAAATTATTAAATACTTGACCTTTGACCAGTGTGTGAGATGATCAAAATTTAAAATCCAAAATTGTTCATAATTAAACATCAACAAAAAAGTCGTTTACTCTCCAGTAAGTATGATTTTAGAGCTTTGCGAAATTCGGGAAAGAATGAAAGCGACTTGATATTCAAAAGCAGATGATTGTACATTTTTTTGGCATTGTACAGTATTGAACTTTTAACTAGTTCTGAGCTCGGGGTTGGCAGATAAAGATTAAAAATATAATATCTACAGAAAAAATAAATATATTAGTTGCAGAACCAGACACAATATACTGTCCAAACGGTTCTTCTGCACGCTGTTGTCCAAAATACTCACTTGTGGACGGATATGTTTTCATTTTTGTTGTAAATTCCACAAATAAAATATCAAGTAATTTATACGTTCATACGTAAAAAATTATCCAAATTGGTGAAGCGGCCATTAACACAAATAATTATTGCAATACATTATTTAATGTTTATTTCTATAAATCATTATTTGAACCCTATAATTAACTTATTTAGGGCTCATCAGACACACTACGAGCAAATGGGAGATTTAGAAGGGACTTTAAAAATTGATGGCGAAGAACTACCTTTGAAATTAGATTCATTCAGAGATCACAGCTTTGGTAAGTCAAAGAATCAAACTTATAAATGTATTGTTTACTTTTCGACAAATCTGAATAGTTTTCGAGTTATAGACAGCGAGTACTACCAATCGTTTATAATAAATCATGTGCAAAATATAAAATAAATACATGAGAATCATAGATTGTGAAATTATGTAATATTTAAATAAAAAAATTGCGTATTTATCTTATAAAATTATATGAAGATTATCTATTTTATAACCAGAAAACTATTCTATAAGTTTTTGAACAATATGAAAATAATTAAACTCCCATTTTGATTGAAATATTTTAGAAATAATTCAATTTAATATTTGTGAGCTAACAGACAACTTTATAGATATTTTATCATAGGACCTCTACATATACAGGGTGGTCTGAACTGTATTCCAGAAACGCTGGCAGCATATTCTGCGGATAAAAATAAGTAAAAAAGTTCGTATAAATGCATGTCCTAAAATTCTTAGTTTCGGAGATACAGCTTGTAGAAGTTTTATTTGTATTTCGATTTTTTCCAAATAATTTCTGAAGCAACGTCAATACTTGGATGAAAATTGGTGTTTGGGAGTTTTTTGACATGAGAAATTCGATTTTGATGTCAATATGACTCCTATTTGTAGGGGGCGCCACCTACATGTGTTTTAACAGTTTTGAAGAGTAATAACTTTTCGTCAGTGTATAAAACTACTGAGATAAAGAGAGCTGTACTGAGAGAAAATACACATCTCCGGGATTTTTTACGTAAAAAATGTCTTTTGGTAAAAATCGCTGCGAGTAACCGTTCTCAAGATATTTAGGATGGAAATAGTCAATACATGTCATTATTGACAAAAAAATAAACATGTTAAATAGATAGTTATTTGACTGAAATAATAAATTCGGGAACTTTTTTTAAATTATTCATAACTTTTTCTTCGAAAAAATGATGATAAAACAGTTTCTGTTAAACCTTTGGCACAAAAACATTTCAAATTTATGATTTCAGTCTAATAACTATTTAGTCAACGCGTTTAATTTATGTCAATATTGATAATTTCGATTCCAAATAACACGGGAACCGTTACTGGTAGCGATTTTTCCCAAGAGACCTTTTTTACGTAAAAAATGTCGTAACTGTATATTTCTTTACTCAGTAGTTTTATGCAGGTACGGACTAAAAATTATTACTCTTCAAACCAGTAAAAAAATATGTAGGCGTCTTCTAAAAGTAACTAACAATAAACTCCCAGACACCAATTTTCATCTAAATATTGGCGTTACTTCAGAAATTATTTGGAAAAAATCGAAATAAAAATGAAATTTCTACACCCTGTATCTCCGAAATTAAACATTTAAGGACATACATTTATACGAACTTTTTTACCTATTTTTATCTTCAGAATATGCTGCTGAAGTTTCAGGAATACAGTTCGGAGCACCATGTATAAAAACTCATATGATAGATGTTTGTCCGGGTCCTTCGCGGTTACAACTGCGATGATTCTATTTTAAAGAAACCGAATATTCATAAATGGATATTATTTCGAGTATATTACATATATGATACAAAAATTGTATATTACAAAACATTAATAGAACACGCTCATAACAGTAACACTCAAAGTAGCAACAAAGCAATTATAGGCAAAATGTAAATAAGACAGCAATTGCTAGTTGTACCAATTAAGATAATTGAATCGCTTGCAATCTCTAGCTGTTCTTCCTTTAACGAAGGAGATCTCATGTGAACCAAATTTATTTTATTAAAATATCAGTATCAATTAGTGGTACTTTGGATGCTCTATAGGGAATTGTGTGTACGAGTGTATATATAAAATTGCCTAATATACACTTAAGATTATCTTGTTATTATTTTTTATCTAAGAAAAATATTCTGCTTTACATTTGCTGCTTTACAAATGTAATCACCCAGTATACATTATACTCATTCTTGCAGGTTTTAAAAGAGACTGGACCCTCATGCACCGCTACATATTCCACATGTTCTATCTGGAAAATCAGACGCGCATAACTTTGGGCGTTATTTGCCAACCATGCACGGCATCCCATCTCGAAATGGGCTACGTAGTCCAGGCCAATGGCAGGGTGGACGTTATCGAGAGCTGCGACCTTTTGCTGTGGCAGCACGGGGAGACGGGCAAGCCTAGCGACGAGCTCAGTTTCACTTTTACGGCTGGTATGTATAAAGCCGAGTCGACCGATTATTTAGTTGTAAAAGTGTAAACAATATATTCTTATGGAGTCGATCGACTGACTATTTGATTGCATATTATGTGCGCAGCTTCATAAGAATAATATATTTTTGTTAACTCTGCAACTAAATACGCTCTAATATGCTCTTGTACCGGTGGAAGCGTGTATAGGTTTTCAAAAATGTAAAAAATGTCACAAACAAATACTTGTGCGTTTCATATATAGTCCGGTTTGAATTTGTATTCCGTTTGCAGATTTGTGATACAATATTGGGCGATACCTTAAAATTTTCATAATACCAGACAGATTCCAAGAATCGATGGGCCCTCTCTCGCAAATGCGTCTGAGGGAAGAAACAACCCCCTATATTCACCCCCTTATAAAATAATGTAAATTCGCTTAATAAAATGTATTGAATACATTTTAATTTTAACAACGAGTATTTTTTAATACAAAACTGTTTTTGGAACTTGTAAATACTTCCAATTGTTCCACCCCTAAGTCATTGGGGGTTGAAAATATACGATTACGATTACGCATTACGATTGCGCATTATTATGATTATATTATTATAATATACGATCAATGCCTAACCTATAAATGTTAGTTTTGCTTTAAATAGTAATAAGTATAAAAAAACCCTCGTGGCTATATAAGTGTTGATGTTTATAGAAACACTGATGAATGTTTATATAGATGTTCATTAATATTTATATATCAAATAAAATAGAGATAGAGAAACGGTATATAAATGTTTGTTAAATGAGGCATTTTTGTAGCAAGAGGGAGAGGGCAAAGAGGGACGCAGTCCCTAAATGTTACAATTTTATCCAATAGTATAACACTCCTCTAAGTGAGTCCGCCGAATCCAAGCTGGTTTCCTCTACCAAACCGACATTTGCACAAGAATCAACGTTTCACTCACATGCACACCATCTCTGTGCATACCACACTTAAAGTGGCACATTTGCAGTGTTGGGAGCAATTAATTTTGGTACATGAGCATCTCACTAAATTTAACACTTCATCAGGGGCGCACGGAAGATCACATATTATGGGTTCAAATTCACCATTAACCAATTTTCACCCATATTCCGCTGCTGGTGGTAAACAAAGATGGTTAGGTTAGGTTAGCATCTCAGTATTGCTGGTTTCAGAGCTGCTAAGGTTGGTGGCATATTATCGCTGGAACTTTGTTTTTGGCTAAAGATCCACCATCTCAGGTCGGATAACTTGCTAAAGCTTTTCTTTGTTGGTGAATACACACTGCAAATAAAAGATTCGATTTCTTCAATAACAGATTCAACTAATATTTCATTTTTCCCAAGAGCAGCTAACGCCTGAAATGTAGATGGAGAAGCTGTTAGAAACTTTTTCCAAAAGCTAATTTTTGATTTACCTTTGAAGGCACCTGTAACGTCAGCTCCTGACAATGCGTGAACTCCTGGAAGAGCTTTTACCTTTAACTCTCCCAACGAATCATAAATTGTCGTAAACGTATCTCCTGATTACTTGATCCGATGCTTACAAAGTTTGTGTCTTCTGGAAACAAAGAAAAACGTCTCAAAGCAAGTAACAAAACGTCAGTATCTGGTGAAAATATTCTTATCCTATTGACTCCTCTCTTAGATGTATGTACAGAATGAAGTATTAATTTTGGATCAGCTTCTTCGTGTGAGCTCTGCAAGTCCGTCATATTGTCACAAGCAGTTGTAGCCAATATGAAATTTTCCAAGGAACATAACACTTTGTGATTCGTTTCATTTTCCAGTGATATTAGATGTTTTGAGAAATATTGTGTAATTTCCCCTTTCGTCGATGCATGAGGGGGCAGCTTTTTTAGATTTGTGTTTTTAAGACTAGTTTTATCACTAACTATATATTGTATAGGGTCTGCTCCTTTTTGCCTTCTGACCCTTTCCATTGATTTCAAAGAGTCGTGTTTATACGAGTCAAAAACAACGTGAATTTCAGAATATGTAGAATATTTTTTTTAAATCTTGGTTGAACACTGATTTGACAAATCAGAAAAGTATTCCACATTTTTAAACGATAACATTTGCATTTCTGCCATACCATCGACAACTGCTACACTATAAGGCTGTTTTAAGTTATCTACATCCACATCACTAACTTTGGAATCATTGTGAACGAGCTCTTCCAGAAGATGCCTAATTTTATTTTTTCCCAGGCCATGAATCATTGAGCCATCGGGATAGAATAAAGACCGTGGCAAGGCAGTTAATTCATATTTTCCAATAATCTCCTTTAAGTTAAATCAGCACGACTTCGACATATAAGAACGCATCGTGAAAACATGATTAAATCTTGTTTAAGCTCTACTATCCCTGACTTGGTTTTAACAACAATCTTTTTAGTCACGGACTAAACTTGGGGCTCATAGCCCATTATAAAAATTATTAAAATATTAAAATAATGCTAAAAATCGAAAAATATAAAACCATAATATAACTTTATAACAATTTAATAAGAAAGTGTGGTTGGGGTAAGAAAACTACATTCGCATGTTCTTGCACCTTATTTAAACAAGTTGTGCTTACTTTAGTTATTTATTAAAATTATTTATTTATTAAAACATAAAAAGAAAACTTTTTTTTTATTTTAGGGGTGACATATTATAAGGGGTGAATACCACCCTCTGATACTCCAGTGCAAATTTTAATTTAGATTTATTTTAAAATTTGAAACATGAAAAGAATATAGTATTTTTAAGTAACACGCATACATTAAAAGTTACCCCTTTACGTCGCAAGGGGTAAACCCCTTGTCACTTAGCCATATTTTCTGTTATCTTAAATTAAAAAAAGAGTTTTTAAAATTGTGCAACAATTTGTTTCCATAATTTAATTTAATTTAATTTTTGTTTCTTTCGGGGTGTTAAAGGGTTACCCCCTCTGCCATATTTGCTAGAGAGGGCCCATCAATATTCATATTCTACAAGGTTTTCTGAAAATTTTAAGGCATGGCACAATATTGTATCACAAATCTGCACACGGGATCCCATATTTGACAAATTGAAACCGGACTAATATTAATAGGGATAAAAATCTGCCGACTTGTACGGTGGGTATAGCCGTACGAAGGAGTAGAAAATGAGAAAATAAAATTATTCGAGGGCATCTTATATATTCAAAAGGGATGTTATGTAAAACTATGTTCTAAAGAAACTGCTATTCAAAAGACTGACGATTTGGTAGAGGGAGATGAGGGAATCAAAGCGAATGGTCAACGAATCAACAATATCAGATACGCTGACGATGCATTTGTAATGACAGACAATAGTGAAGATCTGCAGAACCTACTTCAAAGAATAAATGTATCCTACAAACAATATGGGCCAAATATGAATTTGAAGAAAACAAAATTTATGAATATTACAAAAAACTAAAATGTAAATACTTCAATATCAATACACAGCACTCCAATAAAAAAAGTCCAACACTACAAATACTTGGGCACAATAATAAATGATACTGTCTAACAATTGCCAGAAATAAAGTCCAGGATTGAGATAACCAGAGAATATTTTTAAAACTCTAATTATAATAAACTAATTTCAGTTTTTAAGTGTTTTCGACCTTATTGTATGGTTCCGAAGCGTGGACCCTTAAAGCAGCCGAAATTAACAAACTGGTGTTCAATTAACAAACGTATATTCGGTCGACAGAGTTACAAATATCGAGGTGTTACGCCGGCACCGTATGAACAAGGAAGAAGAAATACATGAAACCCTTAAGAGGAAAAAAATTGATAATACCAATTACTCCAGAATATTATGTAAGGAAAAATCCAAGGAAGACGTAGTCGGGGCAGAAGACGAACATCTTGGCTGAAAAACCTCAGAGAATGACATATCCATAGAACGACGTCGAATGGATTATTTAGAGCCGCCGCAATTAAGTCAAAATATCCATGGTGATAGCCAACCTCCGTTAGCAAACGGTACTTGAAGACGAAGACGATTTGGACGCGACCACGCAAAACTCATGGCAATTTCTTTAGAAATAATTTCTCTAATTCTTCTCTAAATTCTTTAGGCCACAATTTCTCTCTAAACCACAATTTATTGATTATTTATTTTAGCTACTTCTTTCAATATGTAACCACGCTTGGAAACGTCCAAATGACGTTTTTTTTACTCGAATTTTTCTAACGATCTTTTTTTTTCTGCTCTGATTGGTTAAGGTTGTCGCGCACTTGTCGGAAACGAAACGGGTCGACGCGAAATGAACAGAATGGGTAAAATTCGGCGTTCAAAAAAACAAAGCGTTCGGACTACAATTGAGTGTAGAAATAAAATAGTGCTGGCCATTGCAAGCAATATGGAGGACGAGAGATTGATTTTGTAAGTTTTTCTATCTTTGTTAGTATTAGATTTTGTTAGATTTAAAAATAATCATACAGAATCGATACATAGATACTTTAAAAGAGATTTGTCACAAATGTCAAAGAAGCAGATCCGAAACGAACTGACTCTTTTCGACCATTGAGAGCGCGAGAGGCAACCGATCGAAAATTTCGTTTCGCTTCGGTTCGTTTCGTTTCCGACAAGTGAGCGACAAGCCTTATCCTACATACATGACGCAGTACAAAAGGTTCATGTATGGTGTTCTTCCGCGCCAGAGTAAATCCCAATATCCCCGCTTTGGCTCCCCTATTAACCCGGCACCTTAAATAAAAGTTTGTAATAATCTATATCTCATTTTATTTTTTTTTTTTCAATCATCGACATTTATCCAGTTGTTCTTGACGTATAAAGGGTGTAACTAACCCGACTTTCTTATATTTACTCAGATTTTTATAACAATCCGATACTCATCAAATTTCCATAAACCTTTTCTTGATCCACCCTGTCCTCCATTGTCAGACCGATACCGATAAACCGTCGTCGAACTGTGTGTATACCGGGCTTTAGGGTTTTATGGTGTTTATTTAGTGTCCCAACCCGGTCCTAAACAATCCAATCCAAAGATTGTTTGCCGAAAATAAAATCACCAACCCGTGTAATTGACGAAAGGTCTAATGTTGGCTCGTGCGCGACGAAAACTTCTATACCTTTAGGGCGTTCCTGTTTACTTTGACAACTTTTTAATTGGATCGGATTGATGTTTATAGTCGATAGAATACAATCTCGATATATTTGTTGTATGGTTAAGAAAATAGTTGATAAATCTGATCTATTGGCAGCTCAATAAAATGTTCAATTTTTTTTGTACGGTATCATAATTGCTAAAATATCCTGCAACGGTGCGTCTGAAATCTACAAGACTTTTCATGCAACTTTTATTAAAAGTTTTTTTTTTATCTAATTTAGATACAAATGTGACAATTAAAATTTTATGTCAAGAATGCCAGTTGCAAAGCGAAACAAAGCGGTTTGGAACTCCGCCATTTTCCGCAATTAGCAGCTCATACTTATAATAGTGGAGTGCTTTAAGCCCTTATGGGATACAAACCTCGGAATTCATTTACTGTGAACGAATTTTTACAAAACTTGCATTGTATTTTTAATAAGATATATTACAAAGTTTACCCATTTAAATTCGTTGCTTTCACTTTAGTATTTAAATAAACACACATGTAAATATGCAAATAAACACACATGTAAATGCATACATACAAGATGGCTCCACATTCCGGAAAAGCTCTGTATCAGGATTCCTATTTGAGATTTGCACTTCAAACTTTTTACAAAATATGTGTTTAATGGTAGTTCACATTTCAAAAATATTTTTATAGATGTACAGGGTGAGTCAAATATATATCTATATTTGTTTAGTTCAGTGAATTTGCTATAAAATTCCGGTTTCAAAAATATCTTAATACCATAGAGTATACTAAGTGGTTTTTGAATTATGACCAAGTCCATGAGAACGTCAATCTAGACGTCCAGAGACCTTTGTATGATAACTTCTAATCGATACGATCGACTTATTGTAAGTTTGTCGCTAAGAAACCGCCGTTTGCCAACTTTTCAAATTGATAATGAATTGCACTTAAGAAACGTATATACAGGGTGGCCCATCGAAAACGTTCCGCAAGGTTATGCCTTGGTAATTTTTTTTTGGCCATGGTAATTTTTTTTTTTCAGAAAATTAAAAAACACGTCAATTTTGTTTTGTGAGGGGGGCAATTTTTGCCCCAAAAATGATTGCAAAATCTTCAACCCTCAAAGCGGGGGTGTCATCCCCCATTTTTTTTCAAATAGGAAGGGGGGTCAAGTGGTACCGCATTGAAAAGGGCTTTCTATTCTCTATACTTTCCCGCTTCGTTTTTGAAAATCGGTCGAGCCATTGAGAAAATATGAAGGATTGAAATTTGAAAAGTTTATTTAAACATTTATCAGAGTAAATGATAAGGATAAATTCCTACGACCAATTTGCTGTTTTTTCTTATTATTTCTAGATGTTTACGCATTTTTTCACTTGCCACAAGGATGGACGATCGGGTTAGGTAGAGTGTACTTTCTTTTTGAAAGGTGTAGTTAATCGGCACAACTGTCGGTACTGGGCTAAGGACAACCCCAGGGTTTTTCACGAGGTGCACACATAAAACCCTAAGAAATTGAACGTGTGGGCTGGTATTTTTAGAAATGATATTGTGAGTCCCTTTTTTCTTCCTGGAAATCTAACAGGTGATATGTACTTGGATTTACTGGAAAATACCATCGACCCAGCCCTAACTGACATCATAGAGAACAATCCTGGATACGTTGAAGCGGAACTAATATTTCAACAAGACTGTGCACCTCCACATTACTCTCAAAATGTACGGAATTATTTAAACAATAACTTTCCCATTCGGTGGATAGGACGAAGGGGTGCAATTGAGTAGCCTCCCCGGTCACCCGACTTGACTCCTTTAAACTATTTTCTATGTGGACACATAAAAAGTAAAGTGTATAGCACTCCACCCGCCTCATTAGAAGACCTGCGAAGACAAATTATTGATGTTTGTTGCGAAGTGACCCTGCAAGTTCTTCAGAATGTTCTAGAACGGGTTGAAAATAATTTGTATTACTGTATGGAGGCTGACGGGCAACATTTTCAGCATTTTCTTCATTATTAAGATAAGTTTTTTTAATTAATTCAATTTATGCGTTTTTTGCAAAAAAAGTACTTTTCAAATTTCAGTCTTTCATATTTTCAAAATGACTTGACCGATTTTTAAAAAAGAAGCGGGGAAATATAGAGAATAGAAAGCCCTTTTCATTGCGACGCCACTTGACCCCCCTTCCCATTTGAAAAAAGTTGAGGGATGACACCCCCGCTTAGAGGGTTGAAGATTTTGCAATAATTTTTGGGGCAAAAGTTGTCCCCCTCGCAAACAATATTGACGTGTTTTTGGATTTTTCGAAAAAAAAAATACCCTGACTGTTATGCCTTGCGGAACGTTTTCGATGGACCACCCTATATTAACTAACGGACTACAAGAAGAAGATTAAATGAAGCAAATCTTATGTCAAGAAGGGCTGCTTCGGGACCAAAATTTACTAGATGTGTTGACTAGGCCCAACATTACGAAAAAATTTTAGTGTCTTCTACAAAAGCCAATATTTCCAACAAAAATAAAGCTAATGAGATAAACCAAAAAACAAATCATCGAGAAAGGATGTATCTAGATGATAATTGTTTTTTAAATTTCTTGCTGTTTTAACATATTTCACAGGATGTTTCAAACTCTCACCATTGTGTTTTCTCTCGTATAATTAACAGATGGAGAGTTTCATTTTTAATTTAGAAAAATATACTAAAACGTAAAATAATTTGGCTACACACTGCTTAAAAAATCATCAAAATCGGCCCATTAAAACAAAATATATTAACCTTTAAAATACATCAAAGTTTTAAGGTGTCCAGTTTTCGTGTCTGTGAATGTATTTCAAAAACTATACATTTTAGTCATATACTTTTCTAATAAAACAAACCTTTATTTTTTTACTAGAATCCAAAAATCAATTAATATATAGGGTATTCCATTACAAAAAATATAACTTTGATGTGTAACTTTTTTTGGGAACACCCTGTAGAACTCCATATAATTTTAGAAAATGCTTTAAATTGATTTACACAATCTCACAAAATTTCACTTCAATATAAACTTTTGTTCTCCGTGCAAAAACCGCGTCGTCTATGACTCGCCACCCTGTATAATTCGATATCAATCAAAATTTCAATGATTAGAATATAAGCAGAATAGGTATAGCTTATGCATTAGATTTATTTATTTCAATAAATTTACTTAGAAAAAGAATTAAAAAAATCAAAATATTAAGAAGGAAATAGAAAAAGTATATAATAAATAAATGATCATTCCAAATGATTTGGTCAATCAGTACTACCACAAGATTGACAAAAAAACCTCACTTCACTTCACTGAGTCTATATACTTACCAATTTTTAAGTTTAAGTAAATAAATAAAAATGGAATAAAATCTCATAAATGACGTACTGCATGGTACCTATTATTATCTACCTTATTTATCAAAGTACTTAAAAATTAGCATCTGAGGAGATAAAGAAACATATATTTGTTCATTATGTCAATCATTATAACGTTGAATCCTGTGATTTTTGCTATAATTTTGTGCTAAATATTCTTGAGCTATACTTTTAATATGTTGGGTTAGGATATTATGTAAATTCGGAGAGGGGCGGGACAAATTGACGAAATTAAAATTTTGCCGCCACTGTTATAAATATTACAATTGAAAACGTCATATCAAACTTCTTAAAATATTAAATATTTTTTCATCATTTATTAAATGTTATACACCCTGTATTTTTGATTAAGAAATAAAGTCGAAAGGAAGATACAGATATATAATATTTGATATTAATTTATTATTTCCCATTAAGCACATCATAACATATATACCGGGTACGCCTCAAAAGTGGCTCACCCATAACTTTTTTATTTCTTCAGATAAAAAAACGAGATTTGGTATGTTAGTATATAACATAAATTATGATTGATTGACGTATTCAATTGTTTTCGGTCACTTCCTGTTTCACCGGAAATGACTACAACTTTTGATTTTGAAATGGCACCCCCGGAATTTTGTTACTTTATTCGATAAAAAATGACACTCTGAATAGAATGATATATCATATTATGTCAACTTTTGACATTTTCGAATATGGTTTATTTGAAATTGTAACATGCGATTCATAACGACAATTTGACTAGAAGTCCCAAGTGTGTGGTACCAAATTATTCTTAAAAAATTCTTTTTCCAAATATGCTAATGAGTCAACCTCGTTCCATTAGAAAAAATTGAGATATGATTAAAAATACCATTTGAGCATATTTTAACCGGTCAGGACAAGACCCCAAAAAGATTGAAATTTAAAATAATATAAATAATTTTATTTTAAGCAAAAATGTCAAAAGTTGGCATGTGACATGTCATTATATTCAGTGTCATTCTTTATCGAATAAAAGTCATTTCCGGTGAAAGAGAAAGTGGCCGAAAAGAATTGAATGCGTCCAATCAATCCTAATTTATGTCATATAGTAACATACCAAATTTCGTTTTTTTGTCTGAAAAAATAAAAAAAGTTGAAGGGGTAAGCCACTTTTTAGACGCACCCGGTATATTTACCCTTCTCTAATTTCTAGGTGACGTGATCTATGAATGCAAAGTTCAATACGATCTTACTGTTTCCCATTTCGTCGGCAACAATGAAGTGGTGAAGATGTACGAGAGGTTTCTAACTTGTGAAATTAATGGAGTCAAAGGCAAAGGCATCTCCGAATGGAACTATAACAACTTGAGCGGAAAATTTAATTTGAACCAGTACGTGTGTTAAATGTCTAGACGCACACTTAGTTTAGTAGGTTTAACAATGCACTAAGTAAATGTATTTAAATGGAAAGTTTGTTTAATGTAATAATAAATGTTTGTTGTTAAAAGTTGCCTTTTCTCATGTCATTGATTATATCTATCGAAATAATATATATTTCCGTAGCATTTTTTTTTCCACAGGTATCTTTTCAGATCTACTGTAATCCTCTTCTGAGTGCTAGGTAACGTTTTCCAGTAATTTCCTTTTCAAATCCTCCAAATAGATCTTTGTTAATATATGGCTTAGTGTTACTTAATACAAAGAAACGCACATTTGGCAGGCTGTCACTGACCTAAAATAAATAAGTTCTGTCGTCTCTGCTTCAAATCGACAAAATTCTATACACGACACATGGCTTTGTCCGTCAATCCGATGAGCTTTAGATACATATGAAGCTTAGAATGCTCTGTTCTTCTTCTTAGGCCGCCGGCCGTCTCCCTTCGGAGGTTGGCGATCCAACTGGCTATGATGGTGCATGAAACCGCACCTCTGAAAATTTCAATTGATGTTCTTCCGAACAACGACGCAGATCCTTAAGCCAGGAGTTTTGCCTTCCTCCCACTGATCTCCTGCCTTCAATTTTGCCTTCGATGACCAGTCTGAGCACCTCGTATCGATCACACCTCATGATGTGACCGACGTACTGTAACTTCCTTTCCTTCACTGTTGATAGGAGTTATCTTTGCCCATCCGCCTGAGCACCTCCTCATTTGTCACTCTATTCATCCAGGATATACGCAGCATACGACGATACAAGTACATCTCAAAAGCGTTAATGTGATTTTTCAATGTCTGATTGAGTGTCCAACTCTCAGAGCCGTAGAGAAATACTGAAAAGATGTAGCAACGCAGCATACATCTGCGCAGTTCGAGGCTTAGATCTCGCCTGGAGAAGAGGATTTTCATGGAAGCAAAAGTACGTCTGACCTGTTCGATCTTAGCTAAAATTTCAGTTTTGGGGTCGCAAGCGTCGTTAACGAGGGCTCCTAGATACTTTATGGACGATACTTGTTCTACTACCTTGTTGTTAATTCTGAGGACAGTCTTTCCCGGTGTTTTGGAAAATACAAGTTTAGTTTTGTTAACATTGATGTGGAATGCTATGCTATGTTCTACGATGCAGTCCATCATGTTTTGACGGTGTAGAATGTTGCCAGCCAGCACAACCGTATCATCTGCGAAGCGAATATTGTTGATCAGGGTACCATTGATTTTGATACCATCCTCAATGCTTTCTAGTGCCTCACGGAATACCGCCTCGGGGTAGATGTTGAAAAGGAGTGGGGATAATACACACTCCTGCCTGACGCCCTTCCTAATTGCTACTTCATCAGATGTTCCGCCATCCGCCCTGATCTCTGCAGGTTGGTTCCAGTATAACTGGGTGATAAGTCCCCCTCATCCACCCCTTTGGTTCTAAGAATCTCGGCAAGTTTTTGATGCGACACACAGTCAAAGGCCTTTCTATAATCTATAAAGCAGGCATATATATCGACGTTCATGTCCCCGCATCGCTGTGTAATAACGTTTAGTGTAAAAAGAGGCTCGCGCGTCCATTCCTAAGTCCAAACTGTGTATCGCCAAGTTTAAGTTTAGTCATGGTGACATATTACAAAAATGCCCTTTAAGAGTCCATTTCACTAGATCGAAAAAGTAGCAAAATAAACGTTCAGCAATTAACGTTATATGTAAAACTGACTATACTATATCCGTATTGTAGCACATTTTTAGACAACTTCTTTATTTTTAAGATTTTGGTGGTCAAACATCAACAAAATATTGAAAATCCGGAAATAGATTGAAGTTTTGTGATTAAAGTGATATATAATTTATATGGTTTTGTGACAAATTGCTCGCTAATTTATGGCAAATGCTGAAGCTCTGTAAACCTTAATCAAGCCTTAATTAAAGCAGGTGTGTCTGGAATTTTGTGTGTGACTTAACACGACAGGATCGGGCTAAACCTTAGGCATATTCCTTTTATATATTTCCTTCGGCCACACACCCGCTTTACCCGACCCCTAAGAGCGACCCGAAAGTAAAGCGTAATAGATTCTTAAGGAGGCTTTATTAAAAGAAAGAGTTGGGGTTGGGGTCCAAAAAAATGGAGCGGAACTAGATAATTTCTTTTAAACGGAACACCTTGTATATTATTGCATTTTTGGCTTCCTTTCTGATCACTTTACATAACCCTAAGATATTATTAAATATGTTACGATAGTTTTAGTGATATTAATAAGAAAATAAAAAAATATTTTTTTAGCCTTTTTAATAAAAAACTAAAAGTATTTCAAAATTTTTAATAATTTTGCGGATTGCGGTAATTTTCGAAATATCTTTTTTTATTTCTTTATTAATATATCTGAAACTATCAATACATATTTAAAATTATCTTAGGATTATCTAAAATGATCAGAAATGAAGCCAAAAAGGCAATAATGGGTGTACTTGCCAGAGCCTGTATTATTGTAAAACGAAAATTGTTTCTTGTAGATAAATAAAATTGTAATTGTAATAAAATTATTTAAAATTAATAGAGACAACTTTTCCTAATAAAGTTTTTCAAAATTCAGTCAATAAATCTAGATTATAACCATTTATTATATTAAATGTCAAATTTTACAGACTCATGAGAGCAACAAGTTAAATGTTATTATTCTGTCATTTTTAATATAAATCAAACCAGGAATTAAAAATAGTCTTATCTACCTTAGTCGCCTATCTCTGACATTGTATAACATCAAAATTGAACAAAGACAACTAATTCCTTAATACAACTTTAATACAGAGAGTATGGTATTTCTCACTCATCTTATCTATCTGAATCAAGGCATAAAAGGGTGCACAAGCGTGTAATAATGGGAATTTAGAAGGGGAAGGAAACCCTTTATAGTCATTGTTCTATGCAGATTATCCCGAAGTGAGTATTCAGAAGCTAAAAATAATGTCTTATACTGATTGTAATTTAGATAAAAAGGCTGGTAACAATTTATATACGGGGTGCACCTCAAAAGTGGCTCACCCCTATAACTTTTTTATTTTTTCAAATAAAAAATCGAGATTTGGTACGTTAGTATAATACCGTATGATCGAAAAAAAACGGCGTTCAGTTGGCTTGGAAATGACGATCGATTTCCCATATCATTTTGCATATAGAATGACCAGCGATCTTCATTTCATAGCCATCGTTGACGCCGTTTTTATTCGATCATACGGTAGTATATGACATAAATTAGGATTGATTGACGTATTCAATTGTTTTCGGTCACTTCCTGTTTCACCGGAAATGACTACAATTTTTGATTTTTAAACGGCACCACTCAGTATTTTGTTACTTTATTCGATAGAAAATGTATATACAGTGTATATACATAGATATACAATGACATATCATATGTCAACTTTTTACATTTTCGAATATGGTTTATTTGAAATTATAACATGCGGTTCAGAACGACAATTTGACTCGAAATACCAAGTGTGGTACCAAATTATTCGTAAAATCTTTTAACCAGCCAGAATAAGACACATTAAAAAGAACATTAAGAGGCAGATTAAAAATTAGTGTTTTTAACACACAGCTATAGGACTCTAGATTGACATTTAAAATACAATTTTGTTTTAAGCGAAAATGTCAAAAGTTAACATATGATATGTCAATCTATTCAGAGATTTTCTAGCGAATAAAGTAAAAAAATAACGAGGGTGTCATTTAAAAATCAAAAGTTTTAATTTTTTTCGGTGAAAAAGGAACAAGTGGCCGAAAAGAATTGAATAGTCAATCAATCCTAATTTATATCATATAGTAACACACCAAATCGCGTTTTTTTTATCTGAAAAATATAAAAAAATTATAGAGGTGAGCCATTTTTGAGACGCATCCAGTATAAAATATTAAAACGTGGAAAGTATATTAAAAAAAGGTATTAAGTAGATAGTGACAATAAATATTGTAAAAATAAAGATTCCATATCTAATATATAAAATTCTTGTGTCACATACTCCTCCAAAACAGCTTAACCGGTTTTGATAAAATTTTATATAGTCAGTAGGTCTGAGAATAGGTTATTATCTATTTTTTATACCCCTAAGTGATAAGGGTAGTCCACCCCAATTTTTTTTATAGAAAAAGTATAAAAATGATGTTCTTTAAATTTTTAACCATGAGAAGTTTAAATTAAAATTTTAATATAAAAATGTCACGTTCTTTATCGTCTCTACACCAAGAGGCGATAAAAGGAGTATGCAAATATTTTGCTTCCAATTTTTTCTTCAAAAATCTGTCAATTTCAGTCTGGCTTCGCTCCATTGTGTGTGTTCCAGCCAGACATCCAATTATTTCGTAGGAAATGTCATTTTTGGCTGGACATAAAAGCGATAACAAGCAAGAAATTTTGTACTATACTATAATGACGAAAAATATAATTTAAAAGAAGCTATGGCTTCTTCGGCCAAAATATATTTTCTTAATGTTAAAATAGTACATTCCATGTCTTCTTGGTAAAAGTTATTTTTTATTGATTTGAATAAAACTGATTCCTGTAAAGTTAATAAATAAAACGATAAACATTTTTTTTTTTTCATTTTTAGGGTTCCGTACCCAAAGGGTAAATACGGGAACACTATTACTAAGACTTTGCTGTCCGTCTGTCTGTCACAAAGGTCTATCTTATGAACCGTTATAGCTAGACAGTTGAAATTTTTACAGATAATGTATCTATGTTGCCGCTATAAGAACAAAACTGAAAACAGAATTAAATAAATGTTTATAAATAAAAAAGTACTTTCACTAAACATTATCTTTTAAGTAAGAAGTTTACATAGAATCTTTCAAGTCCTGGGTGGCCGCGTGGTTAAAGCGTTAGGACTTTACGCTGCTATAACGTTGGAACCGTAGTAAGACAGGTTCGAATCCTAGTCAAGGCGACTTTTTTTTAATCGTTTTTTGTTTAATTTTTACATATTTATTTTTACTTTTTACATATTTATTATTGATTAATACAATTTTTAGTAATGTGTTTCTTCATTTTTTTTAATTACTTATACGCGCATTCAATTTCAGCTAAATCG